GAGCAGAGGCGGACAACCTCCGTCTGATTTCCGCTGGTGGAACGACGGCTAGACGGCACAGGAGCCGCAACGGACCCGGCCGCACCCGCGGCCGCTGGCGGCACGACCAAGGCGGCCCGAGGCACGCTGGCCACGCACGCACGCGGCCAACTGCATTGGCGGCGATGGCACGGCCACAGTGGGGTGGTGCGGGTTTCGACACGGAGATGGAACGACGCGGGAGGGAGCGGCGTTGCGGCACGGCTCCACAGCGCACCGGGGGAACAAGAGTAGCCGTGGCGGAGCCCGGGCGTGCTGCGCGTGTAGAGGCAGCTCGGTGCCCGGAGCTGAGACGGCGGGGCAGCGAGCAGGAACCGAGGAGGGGGCGGCGGCGACTATGGCCTTGGTGGCAGGGGCGCCGCGCGAGGCAAGCAGAGGAGGGAGCGGCGCCTAGGAGCAGCAGGCCCAACGTGGCCAAGGAGCGCTCGCGCTTGTGGTGGCTGGGCGACGGCGGACGGGAGGCAGGGGAGGTCGCGCAGAGTAGCGGCGTTGGCGGTTGGCAGCCAAGAGAAAGAGAGCGGACGGTGGTAAAGAAGAGCGGCGCACGAGAGGGAACAGGGAGCTACGCAGTACGTCCAATCTCATAAATGCGGCGTGGGGCAGTGGCCTGGCACAACGTGGTCGGCAGCGACACGCCTGCTCACGCACAGAACATGAAATGGCACGGCGCGGCAGGAGGTGACGCGACGAGACAGCAGCAGCGACATGGAGTGGCCTGGTCTGCATGAGGTGGTGGTGCTGGTGACCAGCTGTCCGACGACGTCTATAGGGCGCGCGTGAATCAGCTCCATGCAGGCTTCGCGAAGGTACAGAGCCGTGACACAACACATGAGAGAAGAAAGAGCCAAGCAACAATCGGTCAACTTGTACAGAGCAAAGTTCTAAATCTCGAGATATAAAGTTTAGAGGCAGCCTCGTCGATCTGCTATAGCCGCTATTATCGCCGCTATTTATCTTCTAATAATCACAGCCTGATCAATCCTCGCCACACACGTTCCTACCGAGGCCTGCACTCTTTCTTTATTAGTTTCCTTGTCCAAGGTCCAACTCGTGACTCCTCTGGCCTGCATTCTCTATCTCTCTCCACTGCAACACGTCTCTAGCCCTCTCTGCTGCTCTGACGGAAGGCCGGCGCAGAACAGTGAGGTGCGACAGCTTCGCGGCGCTAAATCACGCAATGTTTAGCGGATTTCGCGCGCTATATCCGGCTATTAGCGGGTTCCAACACCTAGCGCTAAAAGCTAAGGGTGTTTGGTTCTTTAGTCGCTCCTAAAATTCATATCACATCGAATGTTTAGATACTAATAAGGGGCATTAAATATAGATTAATTATAAAACCAATTACATAGATGGAGGCTAATTTGCGAGACGATTTTTTTAAGCCTAATTAATCTATCATTACACATGTTTACTGTAGCACAACGTTGTCAAATCATAGACTAATTAGGCTTAAAAGATTCGTCTCGCAAATTAGTCGCAAGTTGTGCAATTAGTTTTATAATTAGTCTATATTTAATACTCCATATATGTATCCAAACATTTAATATGACAGGAATTTTAGGAGACACTGCAAAAACAAAGAGGCCCTTAGATATCTTAACTGCAGCCGTGTCCAGCGGAGATCTAGTACAGAGAGGACAGAGCAGCTGTAGGAGTACGTGTGCCCTTTTTTTTCTTTGTTTTTATATATATATTATATATATATATATATATATATATATATATATATATATATATATATATATATATATATATATATAACGGTTTACTAATCTAGATAATTTGCAACGTCTAGGCTTAGAAAAAATTTCAACAAAACTCAAATTTAAATTTGATTCAAAAGCTATATATATATATATATGTATATCGTTCTATTTATTAATGGATTTTATTTTATTTATAAAAGTTGTTTTTCCTGCTTAATCTACTAGAGCAAACCGTTCGCTATTTATTTGACAGGATTGTCGTTCGACATTTCTGAATATCTTTACACACTTAGTAATTTAACTTGGGCGTTGATTTGAGTCAACAAAATTAAGTCACACATGATTCGCTTATCTCCTTAAGTACGTTTTAAATTTAAAACCCGAGAAGCTCGATTCAGAAATTTTTCTTAGGCCTAAATCACGGTTCTAAACGAGCTCGTAACACTAGGGGTGTTACACGTTTCACCCAAATCAGTATAAATCCTTATGTCCTCCGAGCACACCATTCGAGCCAGACGCGCAAATGCAAACTTACTCGTCGGTGGCCTGAAAACACCGACAGTGGGACCCAGCAGCGACACCCGATTTGCTTTTGAAACTACCAGATGAAACATTTACAACATACGGACGAAGGCAGATGAAACACTTGAAACATATGTCTGAAACACTTGAAAAAACATCTAAAAACACTTGAAAAACCATTGCAAAAGCATGTGCAATATTCAAATAAAACACTTGCAACATATGTGTGAAACATATGCAATATCCAAATAAACAAATTACAACATACGTCTGCAGAAACAGATGAAACATTTGGAACAGATGCTTGCAACATACGTGTATAGCCATTGCAACATGTGTAATATTCCGATCTACTTTTGCAACATCCACTTGAAACAGTTGCAACATGCATATGAAACCCTGAAACACTTGAAACATACGCTTGCAACATGTCTGGCGTGACACTCTAGTGGACGGCGACCACCATGTCTAGAAAGCCTCGAGGCGGTCGCGATGTACGTCACGACCACGATGCCCTTTCTGTCTCTAGCCAGAGGAGGATGCGATGAGGAGGACGCCGATGCCGGCGCCAGCGATGAGGTAGCGGATGTGCGGGAGAGGGACCTTGTACTGGTACTCGAAGTGGAAGCCATCCAAGGATATGAGCAACACCACGAGCTTGGGGGAGCTTGGAGAGCAGCCACGTGGCAGTGGATGCCGCGATCACGATGGTGAGGGGCGGGCGGAGTAGGACGAAGGTCATGGTGGTGGCGAGGGCCATGGTGAGGAAGAGCAGGAGGCGAGGAGGCGAATGAAAGTTGGGGTGCGTCCATGGAGGAGGAAAGGAGCGGTAGTAAACCACGACGAGTCGTTGGGGTCTGGACCTCAATTGAAGGTTGGGGTGTGACCATGGCGGAGGAGAGCCGAACGTGCTTGCAGTTGGCAGCTTGCGGAGTGGGGGATTTTTTGGAGGCGACATGGGAGTATCAGATAATTGTGAATACGTGGACGACGTGAAGCCACGTAGCGTCTGACATTCGGACGCCCTAATCATAGCATTACTGTATAATCTATCCCACCCATTATATTCAATCCACTATGCTTTCATGGTATCTGGGGATCCACTCTATCTCCACATGAATGCTCCGAAGTGGGAGAGCAAGCCTTAGTTGCACCCAAGCCCTCTATCTATTGGACCCTCTTTCCCAACTTGTCGTACCAAGAAACACAACAACCTCTCTCTCTCTCTCTCTCTCTCTCTCTCTCTCTCTCTCTCTCTCTCTTTTCTCTTAGGGATCAACTTAAGGAAGTAACCTCATGTCCCTAAGCCAACAAATCTCCTAATCACTCCCTCTCTCTCATACTTCCGTATGAACCTCTACAGGAGCAAACAGATAGAGAGAGACATCAAGTAACCATGCTGGCCCAAGCCCATGCGGCCATCATGAAAGGCAAACACATCTGCTTAAAGAGCTCTATTTTGGATACTCCTTGTTTCGCCCATGTGCATTTATGTTATTATATATGCATGTTATTTGGGTTAACAAATGAACTTTGCTACCCTTAGTGTAACCTCATCAATCTAGTGTAACTTAAGGATTAGTCGTCTGGAACTACTCACCAATGGGAAGGGTAACAACTGTGCTTAGCTTTTGCTTAGAGGTGGTAGAAGTCGAATGTCGAGTAAGAAGCCTCTTTCGCGAGCTATAGGTAACAGTGAGGAAACACCATGACTTAAGCTAAAACTTGCCTATGGTAGCAATTTGCTTAAGGATCCAATAATACAATAAGCTAAAGAGGGATGTTGTTCATGTTAATAAGGTATGAACGATAAATGAATGTGGACTAGGCTCGACATGGGGCTGGGTCACGGCGAGTCAAGGTCTTGCTTGAAATAACTCACTTGAGTCAGTTAAGTACCATTGCATCTGTTTGAGTGAGCCTTGAACACCTCTCTCATACATAACAAATTCCACATGCATATGGGATTGGTAATAATAAGCCTAGTATCATATTGTGATCTGATCGGGTAATCCACACTGACTGGGGGGAGTAGCTAGAGCGGCTAGTACTCTTGCACCTCTCGATCGTTCATTGGATGACTTGAGTCAATGTAGGAAAGGTTGGAGACATGATTCGTCCCTTATCTGGGCACGAGTATGGTGGTTTGGACTTGTGCTCCTTGTGAGAAAAGTTGTACGCTCCTCCAGAGTTACTAATCATTTTGAAATGCCATGCACTCAGTTATGAGCAAGTTCTTTGGCTTTTGGCCTCAGAGTATATAGCCACTCTAGCTACTTAGAGAGTCCTCAAATTACTAACACCTCCTTCTTATCTCAAATTACTAACCCATGAAGAGAGTCCTCACGGAAGACGAGCTGGTGATATTTTAAACCAAAATCCTCATGAGTCTCGCTGAAAACTTCTCTCCTATATCTTTTGAAGGAGAGCTTAAATTTAGAAAATCTATGTGTTTTCAAACATCGCAACAATCTCTCCCGCCACATCTTGTACATATATAGGCATCGAAGCTAAGAACCATCCATTTTTATTTCTACTTAAATTCTTCGACCAAATTAAACACCACCAGCAAACCTCCTGAACACCTTCTCCTCCACCCGTGGCTTGCATGAGGCACATCGTATGCCTACTTAAGACAGAGATCGAGCAGCCTCACCTGTCTTCATTCTCCGCTCCGTTCGTTACCCGCTAGAGCTATAGCACAAGAATAAACGCCATAGCAGGGCAGCAGGCATGGGCAATAAAGCTAAGCTCCAGGTGACCGTCGTCCTGGGCCTATCCCTGATGGCCCTCCTCCTCCTGAGCAGCGTCGTTCAGGACGCTGCCGCCATGCAAGGCTCGCTAAACTACCACATGATGGCGGCCGACCAGGAAAACGGAAGGAACGAGGACCTGTTCCGCCCCGACGCCAACGCCAATGCCTACACCCGTGGGTGCGAGGCCACGGAAGGGTGCAGGGGCATGGCGCGCTGATCAACAAGCATACATACATACATACATACATACATACATACATACATACATACATACATACATACATACCCCACAACCTTCCACTACCTTTTATTGCATGCGCGTTTACAATTGCGGATTGCATGCACTTGTTAATTTTTTTTAGCTTGCTCATTGTTGTCTTGCTGTAAGTGCCAGCACATACTACATCAGTCCTCAGACACGTGGGATTCTATCTATGTATATATAGTACTCCGGTCCCTCCATTCCAAATTGTAACTTATTTTGGTTTTCTAGATACATAGATTTTACTATGCATCTAGATTATTATTCTAGGCATAGCTAGTATGTGTCTAGGTGTATAGCAAAAGTTATGCACACAGAAAATCTAAAATGACTTACAATTTGGAACGGAGAAATTACTTGTTTTGGATAAATGAACGTGCTCGAATCTTGTATCACAATGGAAACAATTTATAAACTACTTATATCTTTTGGCCCTTTTGGGATCGGAGCGGTTTTTGGTGCACATGTAGAAGATTTAGTTTGTTTGCTTATTATATATGGATGTTGGTAAAACGACCTCTCACAACTTCCACGGGAATCGTGGTGAGAAGGGAAGGTCGGGACTGCTAGGAGGTAGTTCGAATGTATACATATGAGAAGGAATAGGAGAAGTCCTTTGGACAAGGTGATTCCTCTCCAAATGACAAGCATACAGGGTAGGGGGGGCCTGACAAAAAAGGGACAACATGGAGAGAGAGGCTTGGAAGGCCCTCCGAGCCCTGAAATATTACCAAAGGCTGCCAAGGTTGCCTTCCCAACTCCGATGGAATGAAGAGATGATGTTCACAGAGTAGAAATCAAGCAGGCCCCCTCCATACCAGTAGCCATAGATAAAAGGGTTAGCTGAGATTAGGACCTACTGACTCTCCCAATAATGAATTGACCCAGTCTAGGAGTATACTTGAACTATGCCTCTATGAAAACTAAAATGAGAGTATAATTGACATGTCACATCAAGGTCGTAGGACAAACGCCCTATAAATAAACCTATAGGCCTTAAGACAGAGATGGTAGGCCAGCCCAATCCTCAAGCCTACCATTGCGTACCCTGTGGGGCTAGCAGTTAGCTTGCTATAGAGTATTGCCTCCGGCCGGTTATTTGGAATGAATAGTAGCGGCCGAGGAGAGGAGTCCGGCGCCGATGTACGCAAGCATGGCTGCCCCCTGCTATGCGTGACAAAACAGTTCTACGACGGTCAGTTTTTCGTCACGGATCAAACCACTTCTACGATGAGTAGCTCGGGTTTGTCATACATGAACAAATATGAGGATCGGTTTTTTGACGAACGAATTTTGTCATAAAACTAAATTTGTGACAAATATCGCTTCTTGAGTGACGAAAGATGTTCGTCATGTATGTGCACATCCCTACTAGTGTAAACATGTAGTATCTATGGAAACCCCTCGTATGCTATCGGTTCTAACCATAATGGGCAGAGAAAGCTCAAAGTATGGTTGGTGGCATATTGAGTGGATAAGACGGGCACATCTACCCACTCTGTTAACTAAAATAGGAGAGTGAGATTGGGGCCAACTTAGAATCAATGGAAGGGCTTTACTGTGGTACCTCCAAATGACTATTAGCCGTTCATTTAATGAGATCAGATGATTGGGATGATCTATTACTTCCTAGGAGGTAATATGTGAAATATTAATTTATTAATTTGGTAAAATATGATAAATAAGGAAAGTTTAGATATAAAAATCTTTTTTCTAGATCTATTTGATATGGTAAATCTTTTTATTTTGCAACTTTGATCATGGCATAATTTGATTAGTATATACTACCATAACAGCTAATGTCCGTAACATAATTTGATTATTTGATTAGGTGATAGGTACCCGTTGCAGCGCGTGTTTTGTTCCCAATGTTCATTAGTTGACATGCAACATGTTTTAATTTAGAAGATCCTCTTAAGTATATAATATAGTTTTAATCAGTTAGCATAACGCATAAACTTTGACTACATAACGTGTTAATGTCTAACATAGTTTAGAACGCCAAAATTATTTAAGACTCAATTAACGTGTTTAGCTACCAATTTTTTTTCTGCAGGTAACGTGTTTTTTAATTAATTACGTAACATGAGTGGTGGGAGCACGGAAAAAAATGCCTCTCCTCGCTGCCTTGTGCCGGTACACTGTGCACCAATTGGAAGAGGACTGCTTTTTGAGTTTTTTTTCTAATCACGGAGGCAAGTGTACCCCCACTTTCGTGTTTGTCCCGGTGATTACTGGATTTTAAAGATTTCTCTCTCATTTATTCAGTTATTTATTTATTTATTTATTTGTTTAATTTATAAAATCTAATAAATTAATGGCTCAGATTGCTTTACCTCCTAGTAGTAGGTAACAGAGGTACCGTAGCATTGCCCTTAGTGGAAAGATAAATCAGTCAGGTTTGAGTGTGCTTGTACCTAATTATTTAAGGTTGGGAGATTTAATTTTTAACACTTAAACATCTGTGTAGCCTTTCCACTGTCATGTGCAGCCCCGTGACCAGTGGAGTCTTGGTTTATGGTTGTCATATGTGTATTCTATATGCACTGGGTGCATCTCCAGTGATTTCCAAGGTCAGTGTACTTAAACTGAGCTGTGGTCAAGAGGATGACACTCGGTTTAGGTAGATTAATTTGGACGGGACCTCGTAATCGACAGATGACGCGTGAGCGCTTGTTGATATGTCCAAGCAGCCCCGTGTACCTTTATTATTTGGTTGGCTCATCCTCATGTTATGGTTGTCGACATAAAGTTTATGATTATGTGTACCCATGCGTCCCTCTATGGTTTGGACCACGTCCATATCTCGACCTCAGCTACTTTCGTGAGAAATTATCGTTAGCATGTTCTACTCATGGGTTTCTACTACAGTTGTAGCATTTGCAATGCGATGTTGCTACGATTATGGGCCGGGGCATGTTAGTCTTCGACTTCTTTTCCAGTCTGCCGCTGCAACTGCAAGGATGTTGTTGCTACGACTATGGGGCATGTTAGTCTTCGACTTCTTATCCAGTCTGCCGCTGCAACTGCAAGGGATACTAGAGCATATTTGGACGTCTATGTATCCTTTATTTTTGCGAGTGTATATCATATGTATCCGGGTAGGCAACTTATATATCCTGTAAGTCCGACATCAACATTGCATCAACCACGAGTAAACATTGCTAATGCATGGGAATATTTTCACATGCACGACCACTTGGTGCATACTTTTCATGTTACCATCAGACTTAAATTGTCAGATGGAACGAAGAACCAGACTCACGTGTTATATTAGCTACCTCAGAATTATAGATGATCGAAAAGTGCCTCTTGAATGGTCGTGTATGGATGAAAATCCAACTACACCTCCTTCTGATCTCAAATTACTAACCCATGAAGAGGTGACATTTTAAACCAAAATCCTAGCTCATGATCAAGTCTCGCTGAAAACTTTTCTCCTATATCTTTTGAAGGAGGGCTTAGATTTAGAAAATCTATGTGCTTTCAAACCTCACACAATCTCTCCCGCCACATCTTGTATATATATAGGCATCGAAGTTAAGAACCATCCATTTTTATTTCCAAGTTCTTCGTTCCACCAAACACCACCAGCAAACCCGGCCTCCTGAATACCTTCTCCTCCACCCGTCGCATGAATGAGGCACATCGTATACCATTACTTAAGACAGAGAGCAGCCTCTCCCTGTATTCTCCGTTCTCCATTCCGTTCGTTACCAGCTAGCTAGCACAAGAATATATAAACGACGCCAGCAGGCATGGGCAAAGCTAAGCTCCAGGTGACCGTGTGGGCGCAAAAATCATGTCGATGCGCCTGGCACGTAACAAGCTGGAAGGATCTGCTTGATGGAGTAAGGCTGGAGATCCGCTTGGCTTCAACGCAGGGTTAGCCGATCCTGCGAATTCATCCTGAGGCGTGCCAGTCAATTCGATCTGCAATTGACAAGGAGAGAAAGTTTATCAGTAATTTAAGGTGTAACATGCCGGTTTTGTCCAGACAGTTCTAAGCGTGCCGCCTCGGGAGCAGCCAGACGGAAAAATCGACTAAATAGTCGATACGCGCAGAAATCGGCTGTTACGGACTATAAAGCTTGTGGGCAGCGTTTGATTTTATGTTGACAAGTAAAATGCACGCAGATGTAAGTAAAATCATCAGCTAGGTAGATATTACAAGTATAAAGCATTGAGCCGATGAATTTAACGAGAAAGGATATAACATGCGAACAAATCGACTGTCTGGTATAAATGGATCTATAAACGCTCTAAATCTAATCTGTTACCATCAACAGTGATGTTCGACCGGATCAATGGCAGCTATGATGATAATAACAAACTAAAACCGAAGAACCCGTAAAACCATCTATACATTAACAGGCTTTCCGAAAAAACATGTTATATGTGTGAAAGCTCGAACGAATCGGCTAAAATAGCTGATTCAAGTGAAAAGGGACTACAACATATGAACAATCGACTATTTAACATGGATAAATCTATGAACTTATCAGACTTAACCTGCTATCTCTAACAGTGGGGTTCGATCGGATCGATGGCAGCAGTGATAAAGACAACAAATCAAACCTTTAAAATAAACAGATCTATCCACATTTAATAGAATCATGGAGATACAATGTAGATGTTAAAGCATAGGCGATCGGCTATTTAGCCAATGCAGGCATAGCAAACAGCCAAGGTCACGCCTGATTGAGAACAAATCTACCGACTAGCATCATCCGATCTAAAGTGCCATTAGTGGGGATAGACTGGATCGTTTTAGCCATAATAGCGAACTATAGACCAGATTTAATTAGCCAGCAAACTTCCTCAAGATCAGACATACCTTAACCGCGTACTATGCACGATCAAGATCGAAGTAGAACAACCGATGAAACATAGCCCGTCACTCAAAGTAAGAAACATCGTATTGTAACAAAGCAAACGACGGACTAAAAGGATAT